CAAATGTCGAATAAGTTTGTATATAGCTCGATACAGAAGAAAAGTGAAAGATGAGTGGATAGTTGTTGCGGCTAATTGAAAAACAGGTCTGGAATTCATTTTTGAATTCACTATAAACCAAAGGCTTTAATTGCAGTAAATTCATCATTTTTGTAATAAGGAAATCTCTGAAATTGTTAATATACTTTTAATTACAAATAATTAAATAACAATTATAAAATGCTTTCTATTTATATTAGCAATCAAGCGGGTTATAGTCAATTGAAACCCATTGAAAGGAAAAGTGTGCCACTTAAATTCGAGTATTTAATCCTCGGATTAGGGTGAGCTCTAATCTAACTGGAAAATTGTGTTTGATGCACAACTGTTTCCTGCTGTTTGTCCTTGAACCGTCTAACTAGAAAATGGGGAAAATAAAAGACTATGTATTTTCAATCAGCCAAGTGCAACAAATAACAACCAGTGTTGTTCTGTGGAAAAGATTTTCAGCCTTCCATGTTTTCTTGTTGTCTGTAGTTGTCTGGATTTTCCTGCGTGGCATTGTTTGTTTGCAGCAAATTGAACATTTTCATTAGATTTTCCTTTTCGTTACGGGGGGTGGAGGGTGGTGAAGAAAAGCCCTGGCACATTCAATTGTAATGCCCAGGAGAGCGATTCAATTGAATTTGTTTGTTTTAGTATATGGTTCATTTATTTGCAAAAACGAATGAATAAGAGCGGCGTCCATGCATTGGATTTCCCACTTCCACTTCCACCCCCAACCCAACTTTCGTGTGTAATTTGAACTTTGTCGAACTTCCGGTCAAATGGCGAAAGCTTCTGCCTCATAACATATGCCAGGTATTGTTCAGCCCCAGATCCAAGTAGTTCTTGTGTATTTCAGGTGTGCTTGTCGGGCTTACCTAACCTTCTTCGTGCCCTTTCTACGTGAAAGTTTTCCCCAAAACTTTCCTGCTCCCGCCCTTTTCCCCGGGGACCTCTTAAGATTTCATTGTGTAAATTTACTGCGGCATTCTTTGTCCTTTCTGCCAGCACATAAAACAAAGAGGTGGCCAGGGGGAAAAAATAAAGCAGAACGACGCCAAATTCAAATCGCGAACTGCTTAAAAATGAACAACAAATGAAATTCCCATAGGTGGCAGAAGTTTGCCACGTCTGCAGGCATTTAAATGGCAACGGTGGCGTATACGCAACGCCGAGGAATCTCCTCAGCTGCGCCGCCGAAAACTTTTGCAGCCTGCATCCTTCGCGTCGCTGCTCCTTTCACCTGCTTCTCAGTCTGCGAGCGGGCAACATTTAATGTCATGTTTGTAAGTTTCTAGACGATGCCAACATGTTACTTCTGGCCCGCCCCTTCGATTCCTTCGTCCTTCCCCTCCCCCCTTCTCCTGATCCCGCTTCTTCCGCTTCTGCGTTTCCTGGCGGCGGCAGAAAGTCACTTTCTGGCATTTTCACACACACCGAAAATGTCTGGAGATCTCGGGTTCAGCTACCCAATTCGCGACCTTTAATTTTCTTTAAACTGAATTAATCAAGAGACATTAAGTAAAGGCTGAATACAAAAATCTATAGGAAAACTATTTTCAACATTTACCAATTTTAATTGATATATTTATTTAAGGATTTCTTTAAACATATAAATTACTCTCAGTTTAAAAACTAAGTACCTTGTAATTGAAAACAAGATGGCTATAAGCCTTGACTCCTGATAACGATAATAGCGAAACAAGAGACACTTGCAGCTAATCCGCTTTTAAATTAACAAGGCCGAACTATAGGCAACCGACTTGTCAAAGTCAACATAACAAAAGTTTTCAATGTGCTCAGACATTTTGCTCCGATGGCATTATAAACAATTCATAAACATACTCTTACTCGTACGCAAACACCCACAACTACAGACAGCTGGGAAGATTATGTCGGAGACAATCGGATTAATATCAGACATGAACAGCTCTGAGCAGGACAAACATCAATGAGATGACAAATTCTAATGGAAGCGGATACCGAGTGGGACTATTTCTAGGGGGGAAAGCGGAAAGGGGAAGATGGGAAAAAGGATTGCAATTGCTTTGTTGGCCCAGCTAATAATGTTGATCTGATTAGCCAAGGACCGCGGGGCAATTGCTGAGTAGACTTTACAATTAAATCAGGGAAACGGCTAAATGACTGCCAGACAAATAAGTCGACTTACTTGACTTTGCACCCCCCTCTCCTCATTAGCCCCCCGCCTCCTTCGCCACCCCGAGTATGTGTCAAAAGTTTGCATTTGAAGTAATTAAATTTAAATTGAATTCACCCAGCAAGTCGGGAAAAAAATTAATAAAAGCGGGAAAAGCAGAAGGCAGCAAACTTTTTTAATCCTTTGCTCATTTGTTTTTCTTTGGGTCTTTCGTTTTTTTCTTTTTGGGGTGCGTGAAGTGGGTTTTGGGGATTGAGTTTTGGAGATGGGGTTGGGGTCTCCCTGCATTTCCGTGTTATTAAAACTTTGAATGAAAAACTTTACTGCGTAATGGATTTGAATAAAACGAAATATGCTGCAGCGACTGCACTTCAATAAAACTGTTGTATTTAATTAATAAAATGGGGAAAAACAAGTGATAAGAGCGTGCAGTAAAGGTATAGTAAAGACTTTTCAACAGAACACAAAGAAAATGGCTTGTTTTTATATAGTTAATGAGGAAATAATTTAAGAGAGATGTATTTTGTTTTTCAAAACCGCGCTTCTTGGCCAATTTACTCAGCTTGTTTCATACACACCCAGCCAAATCATTTGAACACTTTGTGAAATTCTCCCGAACTCCGTTATCGATGGTCGTAAAATGCAAGAGCTCCGAAATGAAGCCATAGAATGGCGGTGTGGCACTTGCGGAATACGGCAATGGGCTCCACGAGTGTCGCACACAACTCTTTCCACGTCCAACCAGATCCAGCTCTAATCGCTCCCAGTTCAGCGATGGCCCCGCGTCCCGCCGCAACTGTATTCCGCTGTTTTCCAGCCCACTCGCATGTTGCATCCGCTGGCGCATTGACTTTCGTGTCGCGCCCCTTCGCCAAATGAGTCACAATTAAAACCGATCCGTGGCAGAACCAACGCGGGGGTATTTGAAGTGGGATATACCCTTCAAAATATTTTGTAGTTTTATTTACATAAAGAAATACTAAGTCTATTTATGTAATTTACTATAATTGAAGATTAATTATTTTTGGATTTTATAAAAATGAAAATTCTAAGTCGGTGCATTCCCCAACCAAAATCCCCCTTGTTCGCAGTGGCCAAGGGGTATCGAAAGTCTTGCCTTGCTGGAAAGCGAAAGCGAAATTGTTATTGCAACATGCAACCGCAACTGCCAAGCAACAACAGCAATGGCAACATTAACCACTATGTGGCTGCGTCGTCTCGCAATAATTGTGAGCAAATATTACACGAAAGCGCGGACCCCACAAAAGCAGAAGAAGGGGGGCGGTGGAAAAGTCAGTGGGGGGCTGGCGATTGGCGGGGCAAACGGCGTATTATCGTGGCAGGCGATGACGATAACCGCAACAACAATGCAACATCATAATTATCGACCCCCTCCACTCCATTTTCCCTCCCCCGAACCGCTTTGGCAATTATGCCAAAAGCGCGTTTATTATGTGAAATGAAACCAAAGATAAAATATTGAATTCAACTCAAAAACTAAGCCGGGCTTAAATCATTTGAGGAAAAGCCGTCAAGGAAATCGACTGGCAAATAAAAAAAAAAGTGTGTTTGCTCGAGTAAAAACCAAAACAAAAAGCGGCGAAGAGAAGCTGAACAAAAATGTAATATGTAACGATGGCTGTTGGTGTTTTGAGTTGCTTGTCGGCGGTGCATTTTACTTTATTTAGAGCGCGTTTCTGCGGCATGTTACGAAATCAATCTGCAGTTGCATTCAAACCCCATCAACTTCGACGGCAACAGCGGCAACAATTAAGAGACTCACAGAGCCAGCACCGTTGGCACATTTTATTGATAATTAAATAATGCGAAATTAGTCGAAGAAATGCATCATGCAATCAAATTTGGAGTAAGAGAAGTAATTTCTTCCGTTGCCTCTGTGGCATTTATTTAGTTGCTGTCGATCGTGCAGAGTGTTATATATGTACATATATGGGATAGTAAAAATTAATTTAGTGTTAGGGTTATGTGTTAAACGAGCGTGAAATGAACATAAGCTCTACCGGAATAGTTATTCGAGTGTAATCTTTAATGTATTGAAAACCCTATTAAAAGTTGATAATTACTTCAATTTACTCGCATCCAAAAATGAAACTTTAAGATGGGACATAAAATTAACTTTTTGCATAAAATTAAAGAAGTGTACGAAATCCCTATGGTTTTTTAAGAGTTAGGATTGCTTACCGTTTGTTATTTTAAGAATAGAACTAACTGAACAAAATTAAACACTGCTCAGGAATTCAGACATTTGCACATATTGAACTGCGGAATGTCGCTTTAGCAGAGCCGCAGTGTCAGCGGATTGATTTACCAACACCCATTGCTAATTGACAGCGGCATTCATTAGCCTCTTCCTGTCCCCAAGCCCCCAGATCGACAATTGACAAGGGGCGGAGGGGGTTGTTTGGGGCGGGGACTTTGGCGACAGGATGATGATGGCGGGTGCAAACATGCCGCGCACACAGACACCGCTCGGTTGCATGTGCCCCAGTTTCCGTGACCGCTGCTGCCTGCCATGAATTTCCCGTTTGCCGCTGCCGATTTTCTGTTTTTTCGCTTTTTCGCCACTATGACATAATGACGCGCCGCTCGGTTTTTGATTGATCGATCGAGAGGGAAACGGGAACAGCAACTGGATGAGAAACTGGAACCGGGAGACCAGCAGCAAGGTGTCAAATTTGTTACAAATCAATAAAAATACAAAGTATAAATATAACTCACAGGCTTTGCTTACATTGAAGGCCTCTCGGCGATTTAGTAGCAATTTTCAACTTAATCTCTTAAAGTGACACTCAGCCAACAGGTTTAACCTGGCTACCCAGCTTCATTTGAAAGCGACTTTCGATGTGTTAACCAATAAATTACATTCAGCTTCTTTACAAATTAATATTTCCATTTTTTTCCCGTGAGGCAAGTCCCCAAACTACTTTGATTTCCTTAGCTTCCTTTAAATATTATCCACTGCGTTGGCCTGAATGCTTGGTGACAAATCCTTACTCTCTGTATCAGTTTCAAACTTCGATTCGGATTCCAAAACACTTTTTTCAATGTCCTCTATGCGATTTGCGGTAATGTCCTGCTTATTCGGAAGCAGCTTTTCCTGTTTGGCCAAACCGAGTTCCCGGAACATGACCCACATGACCTTAGTGGCATAAACGGCGACTGCGGCAGCAGCCAACCACGGGTGGTGCACCATGATTTGGACACCCGAGGTGGTGGTGTCAACGGAGGCACCGGTGGTGGTGTCGGGCACAGGGGCTGCCACCTCCCCGGAAGAATCCTCTCCTCCGGATGGTGCTTCCTCATCACTCATGATCCTTTGGAGAGCAGAATTACCACCATTACACTTTACAAAAAAAGTTTCCCACTTACCAGATGTAGCAGAGATTTTAAAAAATATTTTGTTATAGGACTTGTAGGCGATTGAGTTATCGGCAAAGGAATGATGTGCTTTTCTAAATATGTTGATCGGTCCCCTCAGACAGAAGCGGCAAAGAATACTAGATTCAACAACCACTAAAGACAAATCTCAGGTCTTGTGTCAAACTGAAAAAATTTTGAAGGTAGATCACGACCAATTTAAATTCAACTAAGTTCCCATTCTCCCCCATTGCTGATAAAGGATAGTCATTCCATATAATTTAGCTTTATTATACACCGTAGAATTGAAATGCAAAATATAAAACTTGATTAAAGTACCGAAATGATTTACAAGAATTTTGAAAAATGCATTAAAACGAACAATTTGTGGCCCCCTAAATGGTGTTTGAATTCCAACGTTGCTTAAGAATCCTCCCCTTAATCGCAAGCATTACAACAAGAATGTGTCCTTGTTCTGTGTGTTTGTGATTGTGTAGTGTACTAGGTCCTTCATCCCCGGTTCGAGCATCAAATGTTAGCGATCGGTACTTCTATGCGCCGGTGGCTCATGTCCAGATCGTCAATTAACGCCGGATTGGGCAGCATTCCAACATTGACTTCTTCAATGCTTTGACCAGCGGGCTCATCGTCGTCCTCCTCGTCGTCTTCATCAGTGTCGGAGACGTCTTCTACGTCGTCCTTCAGAGACTTCGACTTGGCCTGCTGGTCCTTGAGCCGCTTTTTCTGTTTCGCCAGACCGAGTTCCCGGAACTTGACCCACATGACCCTGGTGGCATAAAGGGCCACTGCGGCAGCGGTCATCCACGGGTGGTGCATCAACATCCGGGCCCCAGCGGTGGTGGTGTCAACGGGCTCAGGAGTGGTTGCTTCTGGTGGGGGGGCTGCCGCCTCACCTCCAGGAGACTCCTCACCTCCAGCGGGTGCCTCTTCTTCACTCATGTTGCACTAGAATACACAGAAGACACTACTTTATTTTCAATGTTTCCGAGAGTTAAGTTTTTTCTACTCGCCTGATAAGGCTAAAAAGCGGCTAAGTTTAAACAAATCTTTATTTTTAGTAGTTGTTAACGGTTGGGGTGATGGCGTTGGAATGAAGTGTACTGCCGACCAGATGTTTTAGGCCTTGGCAGTTCGAAAGATCGGCCTGCTGGGGTCGAAAAAAAGTTGGCGAAGCAATAAGTACGATGGGATTAGTTGGGTTTATTTAAGGTACAAATTTAATATTATTTTAACATGTCAATTAAAACTTACAAATTGTTAATTTTTATAGCCAGCAATCTGCTTCATTTTCTGGACATTATGCATAACAAAACATCGCTGATATCAATAATACAATGCTATACATTGCAATAGGTAACCAAATTACCCCACAGTACTATCAGATGGCCTACTAGGATAAAACTAAAAATCGTTTTCATATTGTTTTGAGCCCTTAAAATAATGATATCTTCAGAGTGTCCAAGTGTGCTGGCACTATCTCCCTTCAGCTGACTCTGTTTGTTCCTCTGGTGTGTGATTTATATTTCATAAGTTGATGAATTTTGTAACAAGTTGTCACATTTGCCAGCTGAGAGTTGTCGTCAGCCCCTCAGCCAACCCCTTTCCCCCTCACGATATCATTTTGGTCTCAGCCAAGCGACAAATGACACTACGCAAACAAATGCAATTTGCATTTGCATTCCAGCGTATATGTACGAATGGGCTTGCTTGTGTGAGTTGGCTTGTATGTGTGTGTGTGTGTACGTACCGGGTGGTGTTAATTTCGTAGGCAAACATTTCAGTTTCGTTGCCAGTTTTTACTTCAACCACACAACGACTTTTATTCAAATTTCCTTGCATAAAATGTGTTTATTTTTAATTATTTATTGACTTTTTATGCTTCATTAGGTATTTGTTTTTTGTGGACTGCATTTTTTCGAATTAGTTTATTCATTAATGATTCAAAGCCTTTTTTGACTCATGAACACCTGAAAATGGTTGCTGGTTTCCACTTCAGAAGCCATCCAATCTGTCATACATCCTCGATCCTTGCCATATAACTCTTCTTCAGACTTCAGAACGTCACGAGTATCAATTTCGGCTATATTGCGTTTTCGATTGGATTCGGATTGATATGTGCGGAGAAGTCACAAACATCCAATGTGCAACGTGGCGTATGAGCAACACACGGAATCCATCTCAACCTGCCACAGATGTAAACTTTGATCGATGTCCATTGCCTAAATGAAATTGAGAAGACACTTGGGAAAGCATTTCATGCATGGCCTTTCGCTGACTAAGCTTTAAATTTATCAGATATTTTCAGTTCTAGATTTAAAACAGTACAGTGTTTTCTCCTTTAAATTTCACCGTTGACATATATTTAATCACATGCCGATTAAAATATTTATCGCACATAGTGGCAGATTATTTTCTTTTTGTGCCACTTGGCGATAAAATCATGCGGCGAGAACAATGACTGATATTCCACGAGGTCTGCATAATTTACCGCTCCGGAAGTCACCGCGGAAGTCGAGAGTTTAAATGCGGCGTCTGTTTTGCCACCCCGCACAGTTTTCCTACCCATAAGTAGGCTACCCCAGCCGACTGGCACTGTGTTTTATTTTTCCTCTTTTCGTACTGCCTGCATTGTTAGCCCGCTGCCTTTGCTGTGCTCTCCTTATTTTTGCTATTTTTTGGCAGCAGTTTTATTGTTGCACAAAGTTTCCAATTGCACAATGAAAAGGGGAGGAACCGTCCTGAAAACTTTCCACCCACGCCCCCAAAGTTTTCTGGGCTTGCAAATGCATTAAAACAATGCCAACATTTCGAGGCCCAAAAACGGGAGAAAGTATATAGCTAAAATTGATATAGAGGTATTAGACAGGGGGAGAGTGGCAGGCAAATGTTAACTTCTGTCATCTGGTACCTTTGCCAAGTCCATAAAGTAACATTGACATCTAGATTTATGCATCATCATGTCGACATTCCGCATAGACAACTTTTCGGTGATTTTCTCTATGAACTTTACCTCCTTAATGTGAGTTTGTTCATATATTTTATTGGCCTCGATGGCTCGTATTTCCTCCCGAACAGACAGCACTTTTCGCACGCAGTTTTCCGGCTAGATGTTACCATACCCACTCCCACTCGCACTCCCATTTCCCTTTGTCATTGTGAATACTTTGGGTATTTCGCCTTGAAAGCGCCATAAATCTTTTTATGATTTTAGCTCCTCCTTCAGCAATGACTTGATTCGCCTTTTTCGCAGTGATTGTTATTGCGACTGCGACTCCGGCGATTGTGACGCATACAAATTTCGATGTGTTTGTCACTAATACTCGCAGATCCGGTGACTCCAACCACCATGCAATTTTCCTAGGATAGGTACCCTCTTCAGATAAATCATGAAAGGTTGATCTAAAGGTTACAGAGATGTAAAGAAAATTATCATGAAATATAATTAGTTAAAATACCAATAGTACTCTTGCCTGTATGCACTGAAATAACACACCTATTTGGGAAACATTAAATTCCAATGCATCTTGTGCCAAGTGTATATTACTTACACTCTGAATTGTGCATTATTGATTCCAGCTGTTAATCGTATTTATTAATTACGCTATAATAAACATTATATACAGGAAATTATCTCACTTTAAGAGAAAGATATTCCTGCTCAACCATTGATTCAATTTGTTAGAATTAGAAATCATAGTTCTTAACATTTTAGACCACGTTTGAACCTGCAGATTTTGCCATAGGGTAACCTCCTCTTCGATCCTTTGTATCAGGCCCCATTTGAGCCAGTTTCAACAAACATTTCGCGGCAGCACGCAACGCCATTTTGGCGACGAACGCCATGAAAACGGAAAATGGCCCAAACACGCGACGTCCCCGACTGACGGAAAAAAAATGGCTCTAGGACGAGAGCCTGGGAAGGGCTGGGAATCCGCTTCTGGCCAGCCCACCATGGCGCCAGTGGCGAAAACAACAGCAACAACCGGCTACAAACGTGGCCATAAGAAGAGCGCCACAGTTGGTTTGAGTTCGGCATAAGCCAGGCGCCAGCAAAGTTGTAAAATCGGCAAATGGCATATAAAAATCGCTGGAATTGTTGTCGTCACAGTTCACAGTCAGAGTCGGATTCGGATTGCGATAGGGATTGGGACTTGGATTTGGATTGGGATTGGGATTGGGATCTGGCTTTGGACGGTTAGCGCCAGCCAGGCTAGTTCCACTTCCTCGAAATGCAAAATGCACAGGAGTTGGGCGAGGTGAAAGGTTATGGCGAGGCCAACAAATTCGCTTGATTAACAAATCGATTCTAGGTCAACGATGCGTTATTGAGAGGATTATAAAATCAAACATTTAAGTGCCACAGAAATAAGTTTATTCTGAAATTGTTTTTATAACATAAAACTTTTATTGGCTGTAAAGAGTTTGTATCCTTACATTTATAAATTACCCTTCGACTTAAAAGATTTTGTATGTGCTTTTTACAATTTACTAATTAATTTCCATATTTGAAAATCGATATATTGCTGACACCAAATAATTTATTTGTATTATGAGCTGTGATTTGCTTCAAAAAAAGACCCATCAATCTTTATTAGGCAAACAAGAAACTTTTACTTGGCTTTAATGTTCCTCATTAAAACTCTCTAATCTGGCAACCTAATGGCCCTGTAAAAAGGCAGCGAGTAATTAAGGTCAACGTATGACAAAACGCTTGTAGCCGTGCTCATTATTTTACTTTTCCTTTTTTTTTTTTTGGCGGGCGTAAAAAGTTTTATTAATTGTATGACATAAGCCCGATGGGCTGCCGAGGTTGTTGGTGACCGGGGTCGGGGAAAAGCGTGAAAAGCTGGAAAAACTGGCACAAATCATTATACACGAGAGCCAGGACAACGTTGACAGCGGCCAATTCACACACACCACCACACACTCCCACACCCGCACAACAATGGAAATTAGCGTAGCCGTTTTATGCAATGCCATCGAGTCATTAACACATTGACGTCCCTCGTCCTGCGTCCCTTGCCCCGCATCCTGGATCCTCGGCACTGAATCCTCATCCTGAATCCTGTGCATGGGTCAGAGTTCGAGTGTGCGTGTGGACGAGCATTAGTGTCATCAGCATTCGTGGCCCGTCACATCAACACCAATCTCCGAGGACGAGGGGGCGGTGGTGGAAGGACCTCGATTCGGGCTCGTCCTCGTGCCTTTACATTAATTGAAATTAGCTGGCTGACACGGAAAAAGTCGAGCGATTAATGGGTTTTGGGGATTTAAAGAGCCGGGAGTATAGTACTTTCAATCTCAATTCGGTTCCGCCATGCACGAGGTGGCTTAATTAAAATTGATTACTCTGATCCGCGGGATTTCATTTGAAGCGAGAATTAGAAAAATCAAGGGTGCGATTTTAATGAATACTCTTACTAGATCAGCAAATGGAATGGAATTCCTCAACTTAAAGCCAGAATACAAATTTAAATACAGAAAACCCTTGACACATATTTTGCCTTTGAATTATCCCAGCTAAGCTGAAGTCAAAATTGTCCCAGGAGACACTTCGGGCGGAAATGCATTTTAAATGACCATCAAGCTGGGGTTCATTAATCGAGTCCTTGCACCACCGAAATTCAACTTGAGAGTCGGAACCGCAGTCCTGTTACCATTGAAAGATGCTCCCCAGCCTACAATCGAAACTCGAGCACATCGTCATCATCATCATCAGCATCAGGGCTCGACGAGGACGACAAACGACTCGAAATATGGAAAAATGAAAAGGAAAATCCAGAGCACCCAGCTGCTAGCCATCCAGCCATCCAACCATCCAACCAACCAACCAACCAACCAGCCATCCATCCATCCATCTAACCATCCATCCAGTTCAAAGCCGCTGCAGCTTAATCCCAAAGCTTTGGCATTGCTCCGGATCAGCCACTACACAGACTACATTCGCAGAGTGCAGTTCAGGTGCAGGTGGATATACTCCTATGCGATGATAACGATTGCGATGACGACGACGATGATGATGATGATTGCAATGGCGGCAGGAACGCTTGACAATGACGCCATTGAAAGCACTTTTGCCAGCATTATGTGGCTGTGCGAATCCGGAGCTGAAGGCAGAATCTGAGGTTGCGATTGCGGTCCGCCTTCTGCTGGGGGTGGGGGCGGGGCAGCAGTTTTCGGTTTGGCAATCAAAAAGTCATCAAATATGAATTTTACGCTATAATTTTTCACCTGAGCAGAAGGGGAATCCCGCTCCATCCGCCGACGTTTAGCTGCCATTTTTATGGCTTTTCTAGCTTGTGCACGCCCTTTGGCACGTCTTTCAACTCAATTGCACTTTTGTGCATTTCTTCGAAAAAACTTCCAGCCATGTATGTAGGTGTCTTCCACTTTCTGTGGCAATACTGGGGAAATCGTATATACGAGTATAGACAGATGCTGGCAGACACATTTGAATTGATGGAAGTGTGTCCTGTGGCTTTTTCGCAAAATACTCAATTCAATATACGCACGTTGATTGAAAGCGATTGCCAAACGAAATCAACACAGAAGTGTTCGAACATGCAGACGAACTTTGCGGATAAAGTCAAGTGTTAAGATATCTGAAAGTTTTTATTTGCACTGCTTCGGATTAATCTCTTCGGGAGTTTAATCGCTGTGAGTATCGAATGGCTAATTATTTATCTGTGCCATATTCTTAACTTTAATATAAGTGTTAAACTTATAAACTTTTAATGAAATCTTTAAGACCCAAGCCACTGCCTTATATGGTTTGCCTATTAAATACACGTTTTCCCCAGTTTTTACTTGATTTTTGTTCTGCTTTTTTTGATCTGCTCAGGGAACTTCTTGCTCTCTGTGTTGGGCAAAAATTAAATTAAAGTTTATGCAAGCGTAACGGCAGCCAGCAAAAATCATTTGCCACAAAATCCACTAAAACCCAATTTTGTGCCAACAAATAAAACGAAACACGCACAAACAGCAGCAGCAGCAGCAACAGCGGCAGCAGCGGAACAGCAACAAAGAGCCTGGAAAGAGTCCTGGGCGAGCATGTGTAGAAATAACAGGACCAAGGAGGCGAACCAGCCATCCAAGGACCAGACAAACTGATGCACCCAAGGAAGCGGAGCAAAAAACACAGCAGCAGCACAAAAGCAGAAATCTGCCTCAAGACGTTGCAAGAGTTGGCGAAGGGAGTGCTGTAAATGCACTGTAAAAAACTACCACTGCATCCTCGAATTTATTTTACCATGCAATTCCATGAGATATTAATGGTTCTTGGCATTTTCTTACAGTGCAGCGAGGTGGCAAATGGGTGGCGACGTGGTCGGCTGGAGTTGGGATTCGGTTTTGTGGCTGAGACGCAGATAAGCAAAAGTTTCGCTCAGTTCTTGAGTTGAAGTTGATGTGGGGATGTGGAATTGTGGAAATGCGGAGATGTGGAAATGTGGAAATGCGGACTGAAGAGAGTGCAGAGTGGCAACCGAATCAGAACTGAGAAATCATGTCATTTGGCAGGCAGCGCCGCAACATTTTGCCGCTTTTAATGTTAGCCAAACTGTCAGATGATGTTGTCTGTCCGTCCGTCCGTCCGTCCGTCTCCTTTGGCCAGACTGTGTTTCAATATATATTTCCCACTCTTTCACTTAAACGCCAAACAATGTGACTGGAGTTGCAACATGTTGCAACATCTTTCAGCTTGGGGGCTCTTGAAAAGCTCAGCTCGGCTCTTAAAAAGACTTAAAACCAATCGATGATGCATCGATGTATTTTTAAAGGATAATACATTTTGAAGGATAATAAAGTACACTTTTCTTGGTATTAGCTTGACCCAGTTTTCAGTAATTTAATTTTTAATTATTCCAATCAACAGCCATTCACTTTCCCTCATCGCGATTTTCGCTGGCTGGCTTTCTCCACTGGCCACATCCGATCCAATCCAATTTCCTTCCTGCTCCTCTTCCTCGGTAATGCGAAACGCCATTGCGCATTTTTCAAATAATTAAATGCTAAACACGAAGAGCAGCCGGAGGGTGGAAAAGGGGTGGGGTGGGGGGCGTATAAAGGAAAGTTGTCGCGACATCAAGATACGAAGATGCGGAGATACTTTTTCGCCTCCCTTTTGGAAGCACAAGTTGGGAAGCAGATGACGATGATGATGAAAGTCAAGTCAGTCAAGTCGGTGGCAACTTGAAGCCAACTTAGCCAGTCAGCTGAAACTGTTGCCGTTGCCCGGCCAAAAGGTAAGCTGCAACGGCAGCCCAGATAAACCTTTATCAAAAGTTGCACCGCCCCCTCCCCCTCCCTCTTCCCCCGCGATTATCTTTCCAAGTCAGTTGCCGTAAGGCGACACTTTTAGTGCACTCTGCTCCGTGTGACAGCTCACAAACGACAATGGCACAAACAAACAAAGGAGCAAGCAAACAAACAAACAAACAAACGAAGGGAATGGGCTGGGTCTGGTGGCCTTCATCTGCCAGGCTCCACTGCTTTGACATTTGCCACCTGCAACGCTTTCTTTTCGCTCTTTTTTGTTAAGTTAAAAAGTTATTCCAACTTACCGCCCACTTCGGCTTTTGCTATTGTCATGATTAAGTCAGTTCTCAATATACTTTCAACCAATTTGATGATGATAATTGCTTTGCTATATATGTTTATTAATGTTTAATCATCAAACTAAGGCTCATCGAATCCAGTTCAACGGTTTTCCCTTCAGACGGAAATTGCTCATACGCCACGTGGTCTGCTCGGTACGACATCCGTGTTATCGAAGTATTGAAAATGTTATATTTTAATGCAAACCATATTCCTGCACTTCTCGTTACACAACTATTGCGGCACCCCTCGCCGTGCAGTCAACTGACTCATTCAAGTATCCTACTTCATTTCACTCATTAAGAGCGGCACCCGGGAAGCGGCAAACGCAATGATGAAATGGCAGCACAATCAGCTAACCAAACTTAACTGGGTAAATCCACCCTGCCTGTCACCTCTTCACAAACACACACACCCACACTCACACACACACCCACACACACATCCTGGCCCAGATCCATTAACGTGTGTTCCCGAGAGAACGAATGGCAAAAGTGCGGACATTTAAACGCAGTTGCGAGAGAATGTCTATTTATATCGGCAACTGTAGAAGAATCTTCCACTATATATGTCTATTAAGCTGAAAAGATTTAAATGTTTACTAATAACACCTTATAAAAAGATTTTATTAATGTGTTTCATCATTTGTGTCCGGCTTTAAAAATATATTTTTAAGCTTATACCACTGTTTGTTATCGTGGTTTATCCATATTTAAGTGTGTCGAAATTGATTTAGCGCTTGCAAATGAGACCCACCGCTATTAGTCGGATAGCAAAGGCTTTAAAGGAATGTCGTCTATTGAGGTAGCTTCTCTTTCGGCGCAGGTGACTCCCTGTGCCGCAGGATTCACCTGGGTGATTCTGATGATGATGATGCCCAACTTAGCACGCTCACAGCCGTGTAAGGTAAAAACGGTTTTCAAATTCAGTAAGACGATATTCTAAGAACTATATCTTTCAGCATGGGTACTATCTACACAGGAAATTCCAAAAATGCATGCGTCGGAGATATGACAATAAACAGGAGCCTGGGTACATAAGGAAATGGGTGGGTCTCCCGTCGAACGCCACAAGAGCTCCAAGGTTTCAACGGATCAGGCAGACGACTCCCTACGAAGGTGCTTGGTGGGGCTATAATTCCGGATACGGAAAGGAAGAGCCTTTTAATTCAGAAGAACCTAGGCCTGTGCCTCCATAAAGCAATGTATAAGTTGTCAAATAAAAGAAACGCAGTTAGTAAAAAATAAGTGTTGGCAATTGATTGGCAACGCTTTTGTTTCACATTATGGTAAATCTTATATATAAGATTTTGCAATAAGAGAGCTTTAGCAGTTCTTTCTTTAAAGGGGGAAGCATTCGTAAATTATTTTTATTAAAAACATATAGGTACATATCACAAAACTTGAGACCACTCTTTAATCTGGCGAAACTAAAAACCAGGCAACTGAAAGGCATTTTCTTTAATTTTCCATTGCAGGTACGTTCGCTGATTTGACGACAATGAGGGGAAAGGACACTTGCCAAAACAAATGTCACGTGAGCCACACAAACTTTCTTTGGTCCCCTCGCACTGCAAATCTGTCCATAGTTTTGTTTTTCCTTTGCCGCTTCTGGTTCATCATGGCAGCACATAGAAATATTTGGCTACCCGACAGCATAATTTTTTTGTTCGCTTTTCCTTATTTCCTCGTGACTTTTTTTTCGCCGCTCTACGATTTTCTCTCAACCCGATCCGTGATTTGGCAGCCTGAAATCACGTAAACCAACGGGGAAAGGGGCAGGCAGTTCCGTCATGTGTCTGCGTCTACTTTGCTCTGATTACAAAACCCAACAACAGATTCACTGAAAGAATGAAAAGGGTTTTAAATGTGGGAGAACACTTAGGGAAGAATACGTTTGTTGGAATATTTTCACTAGCTTTGATTTCAATTATACACACTTTTTCTTTTTAAATTCAAAATGGGATCTTTTATAATACATTTAATAGTTCTACTCACTGAATCTCAAATTAGGAGGAATTTTTAGCAGTGCTATAGCAAAAACAATTTGGCAGCCGGGCTCGCGCGCTTTGTTAACGCCCGAGCGACCCTCGAATCCTTTGGATGTGGATGTGGATGTGGATGTGGATCAGGATGTGGATGTGAGATGCAGCTCAGCCAGTTTTTGTCGTCCTGCATCTCTGCTTTCCCTTCGTTTGCCAACTTTGTTTTAAGTGAAAATTGAAACTGAGCTCAGCAACTGTCCGATGGCTTTTTATTTGGTGATTGCTTAGCCGGTGACGCTGCTCCTCGTCCCTTACGAAAACCGTGTAACTGAAAACTCAAAGCAAACGAAAAATCTACGTGACACCAACGGAATGCCAGCCAAAGGATTGCTGGGGAAGGGGCAGGGGCAAGAAAGCGGGGAAAGGACAACACATGCAGGACAAATAACTAGTGAAGGTTTCTGCTTCGATGGGCTTTCTCAAGGCTCTGCGACAGCATCTTTTACGACATCTTTGATGCACAAGTACGGTCCAAAACCATCCACAAGCGAAAATGTAGCAAGCTATTTCACAACATTTTAAAGCGCACAGAATGAAAATCTTTTAGTTTTATCACCAAACTATATTTTAGAGCAGCTTACAAATACATACAAAACGATCACAGGTCTTTAACCCAACTAAAGATCGTTGGTTAATCCTGTTACATGGAATCAAGTACTCCTTAGCTTATTAGATTAGATTAGATTAGAATAGCTGATAAGTGAAAAAATGCCAAATAACTAAGCTCCTTTGGTCCTTCGCGTTTTCTGCTGAACTGCGGGAGTCTTTCCCATTTTTGGTGCCTCGCAGGAACTGCGAATCTTTCGACACGATGCCTTGTGGTTGAAAATGCGGCTTTTTAAAGCTCGAAACTTCGAATTGATGTACATAATTCGAGCTTTAGTGTTAACCCTACATTTTTCAGGGGGCAAGCGGCAAATCCTGCGGATAACACTTGGCTTCAATGGGCAAGGAAGATTGTTTTCTTTAAGACGAGTAGCTGCTTTCGTTGTTTTCCGTTTCACCACTACTATTTTTTGGTTTCGCGATCCCTTCAAATTGTCCAGCAATACCTAAGAAAACCCTCAAGATAATCCAAATTATGAATTGCAAATGCATTCGATTACCTTTCTTCTATTCCTGTGCACTGTTTTGCGCACTGGGTTTGCATTTTTCATTTTTGATGTTATGGTTACTTCTTACTGAGCTGAGAATTTTCTGTTAGTAAAAATATCTGAAAATTTGTATTTGCTTTCCGAACGGTTGTATTAAAAATAAGGTGTGTTATGACATTTGATAGTTGTTAAGAAAGTGCACTTAAATATCAGAGCCAACTTATTTTTCGAAGTTATGACCTCTGAGTGGCTGATTTTTAGACACTGAATATTCAAATCTTTTCCGAGCTTTTGAAACCAGTTGACCAAATCAAGGAGGGGGGAAATTGAAAAGAAAGTCCTGCGCTTTAAACGCTTTTCAACACTTTTCGGCGGGGCTCCTTAGAAACTAAGGTGGAGGCAATCCTTGCACTCCGCTCCCCGCGTATTGACTTTCAAGCTCAGTTTACTTTCCCGGCGCTGTTTGACTTTGAGCTTGGCCAGAACCTGCTGCCCCCGGAGCTGCCAAACAGAAGGCTGCAGGCCAACTGCTTGAACCGGAGTTCTGGGGAAAATGTTTTATGCTGTGCACGGTGAAAATTCACATAATTGCAGTTGGAATTCAACAAACAACAGCGGAGCGTAAATAGAAAGCGCAAAGTCAACAGAAAAGCGATAGCAAAAAATACTGCAGGAAGGTGAATCCTGGCAAGAAAAAAACACTCGGCGAGGGATAGAATCAGCAACGTCACCGCAACAACAACAGCAAGTACAAACAAACAAACTAACCTTTGACCCCCCATTCTGTCGCTTTAGTTGTTGCCTTCGTTGTTGTTGTTGCTGTTGTTGTTGTCCACTTCAGGTGCGCCAAGTAATTGCAACTGAAACTGAAACTTGGCTAAGTTGCCAAGGAAACGAATTGCAGCTGAAATTGGAACTGAACGCGAAGGAGCGGGAACATCCTGTACATCCTGTGCAGAGGATGCAAGATGCAGGACATTCGGCCAACACACGCACACCGAAGCATTTCGATGCAGGTCATTGCGGCTAAATTAAAAGAAATCAACGCAAGTCGATCGGGCCGAGGGGTACTTACCCAGGGAGGTCCTTCCCGAAGTGGTTACGGGGTGGCTTACCGGGGAGGGTACTGTTGACAGTATAAGCAAAGATAAAGAACAGAGAATTGAGAATAGAGCAGCAAATGGGAAGCTGCAACTCGAACTGCTGCAGTCTGTCGCCGGTTTTAATTAAAATCTTTAAGCTGCTGTTGATTATTAATTATAATGCCACTGGACCACTGCTAACTGACTCGAATAATGATAAGATTGGAAAAGGAACAAAAGGAATGCTTTAAGCTTTAGTATTTAGATAGGATACTCTGCTAAAATTAAGGTATATAGAACAATTTAAGTGTAATCCTTTTTAAATACTTCTTAGTAACACAGTAAATAATCTTAAGCTTTTTTTCCACCTTGCTACGACCATAAATACTTCGCCAAATTAAAGTGCACTCACCTGGCCGTTAAAGTTACTAAAATGATTTATGTAAATTCAACGCAACACAAAAAACACTCTTGAGCAAACAAATTTAAGCAATTTGTCAAAAGAAAACAAAACACAAAAGCCCAAACAACATCAGCAAGCCAAATCCAAACATAAATAAAGCACAAAGTGTCAGGCGGACGGACAGACGGACGGACGAGCAAACAAACAAACAAACAGTCGTCCCACACCTGCCACGCCCCCACATTTGCGGGCGGCAAATATCGGGGGCGGCTGGATGCTTTTAAGCTGCCAAATCCGACAATTAAATTATTGCATGACAAAACATGCACCGCAAAATATTCAAAGCGCGCCAAAAACAGGATGTAAACAACAATAACAGCAAAGCAAGGATGGAAAAACAGGAAAACCCCAAAAATACACACCCACCCACACGGGCAGGCAGACGGGGCGAAAACATCAACAGCAACTAGCCAAAACATAAACACAAAAAAAAGAAGCATTCGAGGAAAATGGAAAAAAAAACCAGATTCATCTTCCGCAACAAGAACAACAAAGTTGGCGAAAAAAACTTGGCATAGGAAAATCGAAAAGGAAGGAACCAAAAAAAAAAAGCGACATATTCCGGGGTTTCCCCCGTTGGATATAGCTCATGGCAATAATTTGAAATTCGATTACCATAACCAAGTACTCGGAAAACACAAACAGAGATCGCAGGGAGCAACACACACACACACATGCACTTTCCACACTCAAAAAAAATTGGGAAAAAACCGGTGGCAGAGGGGAAAGCGACATTCACGCTGCCAGAGGCGAAAAACTGCAAATGGCGAAAACGTTCACTAAAAGGTCGCCACATCAGACGGGCAACGGGGAAAAACGAAAAAGGAGACTGCAAGGAAAACAAAGAGCCAGCGCACACGGCCAAAACTGTGGCCGAAAAGCCAAAACGTGAATATATCAGAATTTTCGGGGCAAACAAGGCTCGACCGCAGACAAAAAATGCCTCTAAACATGACAGTGTGTGCGAGTCGGAAAAGCACACTTGACTCGGAAAATAGTTTGTGACCTTATGTTGATTAAGAAGGAATTTTCCGAACTCCTCTTTAAAATAGCTTTTGTTTCAAAATATGTAGCTCTTATTGCTGTTCCTTATAGATTGAAAATCGATTTTCCCTGTTAAACCTAGTGATGCACGTAGCTGTCTTGTCCTCCCCCTTTAACCCTTGGGTGGCCTTCCCCTCGACCGATTTCAATTACAGCCAATTAAGCGAAAAAGCGGCAGTGGCAGACAAAGAACCTCACTTACAAATTGCAACAAAAAGCCAAAAGATGCTAACAGCGGCAGACACACGAAGCTAAGGACACCCCCGAAAAGTCCGCCCACCGCTGCCCGTTTTCCCACCCCGAACACCCCGCACACCCCACACTCACACATGCAGGCGTTTTGCACCTTGCTAAGGGAAAACTTTTTATCCACTTTTCCACTCGCGTCTTTCGGCCCCATTTCTCCATCCCCGTTTTAATGCGGCGAAAATGTTAAAACAAACAAACAAATAAATTAGTGTTCAATCAGCGTAATTTCTTCGACTATGCAGTCTGGCTGCCACGCCTCCCCCTCCCCCCAGAACCTCGCGCCGCCCCCTTTTCGGGAAATCCAGCCAAGCATGTTTGCCTTTTGTCTTAGGGCTTGATATGCGATTGTAACTTTGGTTTCAATTGCAATGCAAGTAGCAGGGTCGAACGAAGAGGGTGAAAGGGGCGAAAAGGGGGAGGGCTGTGCAAACTTTTCACCCAGCAGTTAGTTGTAAGTAATTAAGCGAAGAAGAAGAACAAGGTGGGGGCAGGAGGCGTGGCAGGGGAGCAGAGGGAAACCGAGGGGGGGTGCAAACAAACGAAATTTTCGGTAATTTGCTTAATTTGAATTCGAATGCAAGCCAGCGATAGGAACGAAATTGAATGAACGACAGAAAGGGAGTGGAAAAGAAAAGGTGAAGCAGTCAAGGTGCAAGCTAACTTAGTAAAAGTGATAAAGAGTATACTTTATATGTTTTCATTCCCCTATATGACATAATATTAAATATATTGAAAATATATGTTGTTTAATAATCATTTATTAATGAATATATAATATAAATATGTATATCTTTTAATAATATAATGCAATACATTTGTGTAATAGAATTTGATAAGAAACGAAAAATACTGAAATTAAAAACCATATTGTTTATCGAGAATCTTGTTCTTACGTATTCAAATTTTCTGTGCAACCCCCGATAAAAGTGGGAACACTTTGCTCGAGACAATCTGGCGCTCAATCGCAAGGAAATATCTCTAGATAAGCCCACTCAAACTCAACATCCGTTGTCACTCAAGAGTAATGTTGGGAGAGACAGCGAGAAAACTCGGTTCTATTGAGTGGTTAGCGATCTATGGGGAACTTTGCGAAAGGGGAATTCCGAGTGAGTCAACACTGGCGTGGCGCCCACGCAGATATATTTCCTCGATCCCGCTCTTCGGGAGTTTCTGAAGAGACTTGTGGCGAAGTGAGAAGCTGACTGGCTGCAATAATGGGAGAAGCAAGAAGTCGGGGACTACGTCATTGCGATGATCTGATCTGGAATTCAGAAACTGGTTTGGCTTTTGGTTTTCGGACACGGATCGACGTGACTTTTGCTTTATTTATGCCAATTTATATGCATTAGCCGGTCTCTTGCGATCGCGTGCGCAGAAATAATCGTCTTGTTCTTACCGTTATTTCAAATTAGATTAGGGTGGGACTTATTGCACACGCTCGCACTCTTTCTGAAGGCGGTCGCCCGTCTCTTTCTTCAGCCCCGATATCCGGCCAATCCCTTGTGCCCGATTTCTCGGGCAGCGTCTCTGGTTCCGTCGCGTTCACTCCGCTTGGCGACCTCCTTTTCCCGCTCCTTTTTTCGGTTTCTTGCTACTGGTTCCACACCCCGGCTGGAAAAGCCTTGAAACACGTTCTCGAATGGAAGCGAATGGGGATCGGAACAAGGAACAGGCGCAAAAGGTGTAGCACAAACGAGAGGCAAACCCGTTTCGACGCCGGCTCCCCAAACTAATTTACCCACACTACTTCACGCACTGAGCGGAGCACTCGGAGAAACCGGGAGCCCAGCTCCCTTGCTCCCAGCATCCACACTGCAAAAAAAAAGGGCCTAGCCTAATAAATATAATGATATATGTCTTTCATTTTTTTAAGCCCCTTTTCGTTTACTTTAGAACTGTTATTTAATAAGCCCTAAACCCTGTATCTTTTCTCTCTCTGCATCGATCTCGAAGACTTCGCTTTTGTGTACTTTGGCACTCGAGGACCGCCCTGCCCGCGCACAGCTTCCAATCCCCGATTCCCGAAACTTCAGCTTGGTCAGCAGAGCAGCTGAGTCGGCGACGTCTGCGCAACTTTTGATTTTGCCCGGAACCGGTTTCGCTCCACCAGTACGACTACGAGTACGAGTATCTTTCGGCCAGCGCTTGTGTTCGAATATATTTGTATCTGAATCCGTAGCAGACGCAAGCTGCCCACATTTCAGAGGCGCTGCAGCGGGGAGAGCATCTGTGTGTGCCGATAAATGTGTTGTTAATGATGTTTTCAAGATGCTGCGGTGGGCGTTTTGGGTACCGAGAAAGAGATGTCATTTGCCGATAACATCTTCTATAAATAAGAAGATCTAC